GAGGGAGGGAGGAGAGGGAGGGATTGAAATTATGACATTGTTCTTTTCTTCAAATTGTGATTCCTCCAACTCCAAAACGGAGGAAAAACGATCGTTCATCGGAAAGACATCCGCAATCTCCTTTTTTAGATCTAGATCTAGATCTAGGCTAGCCTCGAAACTAGATCAATGATTTATGTCTGTCTGTCTAGATCTAGACCTAGGCCATAGATCTAGAAGAACCTGGGTCTACCCTGAGCCAAGAGGGCGCTGAAACTTTCCGAAATCACTAAAGAGTTCCCCTACCGGGTCTGTAAACTTTGTGACTTTGTTCCCGGTTACTGGGTCTGTATACACTCCCTTAAAATAAACCCCAACCTCCTTCAATTGCAAATATCTTGACTTCTATTCAAGCTAGATGGGTACTTTTTCATCAAACGTGAGACAATTGAACAGGCTTGAAGATGATACCAATAACTCAGACCTGCCACACTATGAAATTTAAAAATCAGGATCCCAGGGGGGAGGGGGGGGGGATCTGAATCTGGTTTTAAAAAACGCAGTGGCTATTTTTAAGGCGAGCCGTAAAGATAGCCTCCTAGGCTGTAAGAAAAGTGTAAGATTGGGTGGGGAGGTGAGATGAACGTTTTGCTCATAACTGGGAAGAAAAGGTAAAAGAAAAAATGGATAAATGCCAGTAACAAGACCCAGATCTGCATGATCACTGCAGATCCCTGTTGTTGTTGTTTTTTTGTTTTGTTTTGGTTTTTTTAGAGGGGGGGGTTACAAATAATTTTGAAATTATGATGAAAATTCTGTAGGTGGACATCTAATTTCTTAATGTTTCTTTGTAACTTTGCAACTGTTTTGTTGATCTTTTAGTGTCTTGATGTCTTTTATTTGTAAGGCATGTACCTTTTGCATTGACAAGAGTCTCAATGTCTTCCACATATATGCGTTCTTTCTAGTTCATATGGTTTGATTAAATTGTATTAACTGAAATGTTCTTTTTACGGTGGTCACAAACTGATGACGTAGAACACGTTTTTTCAGTCTTATAAATTCCGTCTTGGCTTGTAGGCCACTACCTTATTTGTTATTTTATACTACATTTTACTAAATGACTAAACTAATGTAACATACTTTGAGCTGGTTAAAACCGAGAGTAAGGCACTATAATTAAATGTCCTCTGTTATTAGTATTATCATAATTATAGTCTTTATTCTGGACTTAAACAATTCAATGTTTTTATGTTCTTTACTAGGACCTTGTTGTTGTGGGATTCTTTCAAATAATAAAATAGATCGCATTTTTTAAGCTTTTGTGTTTTGTTTCCTGATATGCTCATATTATTACTGTCCATTTTTACGGGGAACAGCTCACCCCAAGGGTGATTCTTTTTCCGATTCATATTTAGGAGAAAAAAAATTATACGGGCAAAAGAAATAATGAAGAAAGTAAATTTTGATAAGTCAGAATGAAAGTTGCCATGGAATGGAAACAGCACCAACATGCAAAACAAACAATAATTTAAAAAAACCGAAGGCTTCTTTCTCTCTAACAAAATCGCATGAAAATTGGTGGAATGGTAGATACAGATACTATGGTCAATCGTACTGAGCAAAATTTTGATATTTGAATGTAAAAAAATATATGTGTTCCTATACCCTGAAATTGCATCACAATAATTAATAAATTAATCATTGTGAACACACACAAAATTTTTTTACACCTCTATCAAAAATCTGCTCAGTGCAAATTATAAGGAAGGAGGAACATTTTAAAGGCATTCCCAAGGCGAAAAGTGTTAACTCCAAAATGACTGCTCTTCTTGTGGGTGTGGTACATGTAGTGATGTCAGTGAATGAAATGATGATGCTGGCAGTGGCAGTGATGATGGTAATGATAGTGACCAGGAGGGCGGTGGTGATGATAAAGAGAAGGTGAATGATGATGGTGGGGAGAAGAAGGAAGAGGTGGTGGTGGAGGAAGGGAGAAGGAAGATGAAGAAGAGAATAGAATGACGGTGAAGAGGAGGAAATGGAAAACCTATGGGGCTGTTCAAATATAATCTTACACTTTTGGGGACTTTTTTAAAACACAAAACCCAATACCACTTTTCTCACATTTGCCTCCAACCCCCACGTACACCAATTTAATATTAGTACTTTTTCCGATCTTCAACTTCCATAATTATCATTTTAAAGATACCTGTACTAGATTCTATACATGGCTTTTTTTTAAACTAGATCTAGCTTGTAAAAAAAAAAATCATTTCAGTAACAATTTAATCAAACCATATGGACTAAAAAGAAACGCATATATGTGGAAGACATTGAGACTCTTGTCAATGCAATAGGGGATCTGCAGTGATCATGCAGATCTGGGTTTTGTTACTGGCATTTATCCACTTTTTCTTTTACCTTTTCTTCCCAGTCATGAGCAAAACGTTCATCTCACAGAAGTGTCATATTTGGTTAACCTCCCCACCCAATCTTACACTTTCCTTACAGAAGCCAAAGACACCCTTTCCCCTCTGAGGTGTAAGTTTACATTTTGAACAACCCCTATAGGCCTAGATCTAATACATTGAGTTGATTGAGGCATGTCGCATACATGAGAGGCAGAGTAGGGTCACTTTTCGAGGATTGCCGTAAAAATAGCCTGGAACTCACTGGGAGGCTATCTTTACGGCACGCCGTAAAAATAGCCTCCCAAGCTATCGTTACGGCTCGCCGTAAAAATAGCCACTGCGAAAAAATAGAAAGTGGCTATTCTCACCCGCACGGAAGTTCTCGCAAGATCAACTCTTTCCCTCTTCTCTCTCTCTCTGTCTCTTTCTGAATACTGTCTATCGGTGTTGACGATGAAATTGACCAAAACAAAGTTAAAAAATGATGTTACAACACAAAAGTAAATAAATTTGGTTGTCTACAAAGATGCTACGGCTATTTAACTTTTCGAATCGAGCCGAACTACGCGGGTCGCCATTTTGTTTTGCCCGGAAATTCTCGCGCTACTCCTCTCTCTCTTTCTCTCTCTCTCCACTGCCCACAGACAAAATTGTACGCTTTTAGTAGGCTACAATTGTAATGGAACGTTTGTTCACGGCACAGAATTCTACAATTTTTCTGTTATCACAGTGTAGAATTCTGTAGTTTAGGGTGAACGCAAAATTTGGTGAACGTGCACCGGGTGAGAATAGCCACAAGACTCGCCTGCACTATTCTCACTCCGGATGATCAACGACAATTCCGTGCCAGGGTGACTGCCAAACTGACTTATAAATTTTCCAGGGATATATATAATATAATATATATCTAGATTCTAGATCTAGATTAGAATCTAGATTCTTCTAGATTGTATATTAATATTATCACCACTCACTGTCACTGTCTGTATTCTGTATCTGTGTAACTGTGTAGACTAGAGATCTAGACTCTAGAATCTAGATTAAGATTCCAATCGAGTTCACACAAAAGGTTCTTTTGCAAAATGACCGACGATTCTTGTGTAGAGTGTGTCCCATCACAGTGCAAGCTGTTTTGCCAGTTGCTTTTATAACAAGATCTCTTGGCTCTAGGCCTAGGCCACTAGATCTAGAATTTTTATTTGGCCTCCTCTATCAAGTAAGAAACTCAAATCACCACGTATGTAAGTAACTAGTCCAGAGTCATTTCCCCTGACGAATAACCTTGTCTATTTCGGACGGTGTTTGGTTACTTTTTAGTACCATTTTTATTTTCTTCCACAAACCCAAAAGAAACAGTTTCGTCAAAGACAGTATGTGCGTGCGCGCATTGTGTGTGTATGTGTATGTGTGTGTGTGTGTGTGTGTGTGTGTGTATGTGTGTGTGTGTGTGTGTGTGTATGTGTGTGTGTGTGTGTGTGTGTGTGTGTGTGTGTGTGTGTGTGTGTGTGTGCGCACGCGCGCGTACGTTGGGTGCGCAGTGTGCATATTATGTGTGTATGTGTTTGTATGAGCGTGTTTACTTACTTGGTACTTACTTGGTTGTTTAGTTTCAGTAAGAGTTTTATAGCACTTGTAACACAATAAGGTCATATAAATGCCGAAGAATAGGTGTGTTAGAAGAGAGTAACATGCACAAAAAAGGAGGAAGAGAGTTACTTGATTGGAGAATAGGCATCATACAGGCGGCACAATCTCATTGCTGCTCCCCCCTCATCTCCACGATCCATGAAAGGGTCTGCTTGCTGATCGTGCCAGTTTTCAGCTGGTTCGATATTCTTCTGGCTTTTCCACGCAGGTTGCTATCCCTCCCCGACCCTCTAGAGACAACAGCAGTGGTGGTGGGTGGACCAAGATTTGAGTGGGGCTTAGGTTTCTTCCACTTCTTTACCACTAAATAGCAAGCAATAAGAACAAAACAGTGATGATTCTTCTATACTCACGGCGAGTCACGGCATTTTGAGAACAATTCAAACGAGAAGAGTCACCTTTGTCTTCCATCTCTTTGTTCTTAGTTAAATTTGAGCTCCTCTGGGTGGTGGGGACGAAGCCGTTTCACCTTCAAATTTCTCTAATCAGTTTTTATCTGAAGAAAAAGATGCCTCGAAAGTGGTTTGATGTAATTAATAACTGTTAACTCTCAGCGGCACAAACACACAGCACTCCAAACACATACCGTCTATGAGGTGGATTGGGTCCTGTTGTTGCGGAAAATAGAACTCGCCTAACAAAGGCCCTATGGGCGCATAGGTATCTGTATCACTGGTGGAAAGTGTGTCGTAAACTTTCACCCCATTGTCAGGGCTGGGAGAGCCTGAACCCTCTGTGCAGTGTTATTTTTTTATAAGTCTTCTACCTTTTTACAAGAAAAGTTTCATTAAAGACGGGCGTGGGAACCGGCTTATTCTTCCTGAGCCCTAACGACATTTGATTGGCTGTTAGGTTACTAGAGTTGTAAGCGGTGACAACAATGATTGGATAAACGGGCAAGCCGCCAAGCTGATAACTGTGTGTTCATTGCGTGCGATCATAACGGTTTCAACTGCTTATTTCGTTATTTAAGAAACGTTCATTAAGTAAGGGATAGAGTTGGGGTG